GTATTTATATATAAAAAAAGGTCTTTTTTACGTAATATGAAAATAGTTTTTGTCAATGGTAAACTTTACACATCCATGATTCAATGCAACAAAAGAAACAATTTAAAAAGGTAAACGAGAACAATTGTCTGGGCCCTAAGTCATTGGCTTCATGTGGCCCACTGAACAATTTAGTTGAATAGCCTTGTATTAATGTCTCAAAATAAGCTGCTTTAAACCCAGCATTGACCATAAACTACATCTCTCTTATTGCATGCCAGTTATGCATGGGAATTCTCTGTCAGAAAGTGGGAGAGTTCAAAATTCAAGATGGCAGCTACTCACCAGAGCTCAACAGTGAGTACAACTCTTTTACTTTTAATAGCATTTCTGGATTATTTGTTTCACATTTAGTACATGTAGTACTCATCATTGTTTGTAAGAGGGCATTTTAAAAAGCTGATTCTATGCAGGAAGTACCATGTAGAGCTCAGGTATTATTTGTTAGCGGTACTCAGCCGTAGCAATGACACAAGGAATGTGAAGCTTTGTGTTTAGTCAAAGTTAAACAAAAAACATCAAAGTTTATTACATCTGGCCATGCTCATGTGGCCCTGTGTGAAAGTAGATTTTATTTCACTGATCATTTTTTAAAAGATCTGGCATGTTTCCTCTGAAAGCAAGCTGTGATTGAAATGAGTTAATCATCCTGACTATAAAAAACATGTAGGTACCACTTAACCTGCCTAAAAAAGGAAGAACACTACAGGAAAAAGTTTTCTGAGAATGGGAATRTTTGTTTGGAGTAGCACACACAGCTCCAAAATCCTCATGTGTGTTTACAGAACGTGTATTTTTGACCATCGAACAGCCAGTTCAATCAAAGAAGCCTGAACCTAAAGGTTTCAGGGGATAATGTGCTTCAACCACAGAAATGTCCAGATCAGAGYGATGGCACTTATTCCAAAAAATACCAGCATTACCAGTGCCTTTCTTTGTGTGCCTCTGGGTGCATGTAGCATTAATTGCTGCCTCTATAGGGCCTGCAGACTCCACACACCATCTCCTGCTTTCATCAAAGAAACCACACACTGTTCTTTATGAAATTTTTATTCAATGTGTTCTCTTTTCTTCCTCCCCACCCTGCTCTCTCTTCCTATTCTTACTACCCACCTTTAGCCTCCCTCCTCCCCGTCTTCCTTTTAAGATGCGCCACCAAACAGACAAGAAAGGCTTTCTTTCTACCGTGTTTTTCGACTCGACTTCCTTCCTGCCTGGAAGCACTCAAGTATCTCGTTAGTTCTCCCTCTGCTAACACCACTACTCTATCTGCCAGGAGCAAAAACCTGATTGTGAGGGGGAAACAATAATAATAAAAAAGAGGAAATATAAGGGATGTAGAAGGGGTTGCATCAATAAGTTTGGTGCTTGAGATCCTCTGCAGTTTTGTRAAAAACTGTGGTGACTATAGTATTTGTCTCCCCCAAAAAAGATTCAGTTTTAGTACGAGAGTTTACTAATTTAACCAGAAATAGAAAATTCTACTCTGCAACACTGTTTTTGTTTTATGACAACTGAGCAAATCCAAAAGTTTTGACCCACCAGTTTTCTTTTCATTGCTTTTAGACTGTAGCCATCAATCAGCAATGAAGGTTGTGATACCCCTCCCATACACACACACACACCTCATACACACACACGTATAAATCACTACACTTCATTTCCGGGGCCAAGGTTTAAATAATTAAAGAGCTTTAATTTATCAGGATTTAGCACCCTCTGACAGTAGGGCTGACAAAAGAGAATGAGAGATATACTGAGAACAGAGAAAAGGTTATTACACATTAGAAAGACACACAGTTATGACATGAGGGGGGGGGGGGATGAACATCCACAGTAAATCTAAGTGGAACTAAAGACTAAACAAAAAAAGCGTTGAGGTTCTGCACTGGAGCTACTTTATCTGCATGTAAGGAAATTTATTCACTTGTTAAAAAGAAAGAAAAATGCATGAGCACCACAGCTCAAGATSCAACCATGTATCAGTGCTTTGAACTGCAAGATTAACACATTATGGAAAACAAGTGACACAATTTATATTTGAAAATTAAAACCAAACCACCCAAAAACAAAAAACCTTTTTGCATTTTCCTATTAAAATTTTAAACACGAGCTATAACATTAAAGTCACGATAAACTGTTTTTTTTTTGTAATGAATACCATCTCAGACACAGGACATGAGAATCATATTACAGCAAGTAAGATTTTAACTTATATCACATTATCATTTGCTTAAAATTGAAGCTGTTTTTTTTAGCTACTGTAATTAGACCAATAAAATATTGTTTTAGACCCTTGTGACTTTTGTATGATTCATTCAATCAAAACCCAAATGTTAAAAACCAAGCTTGGATTTWAAAAAAAAACACCAAGGAAGAAATAACACTTTGATGGTACTGTATAATTTTAACAAGGCTGGTGAGGGTCACTGGATCTCACAGGGAAAGGTGGAACTCTACTGCCCCCCTGTGGTGATAAACACGCAGATAAACAAAGGAAAAATAAAAACAAAAAGCGATCGTCACCAACTGATGGTTCTCTTTTTCGCGTTTTTAGATGCATAATGAACTATTAGCCCTATGAATTTTGGAAGTCAGAAAACCAGAAGGCACAAAGACACAAGGGAAGAACATTACATTGAAGCAAACGGTTATCTCTCGTTTTATTTGACCCTCAAATTATTTATACTTTCCAGTAGAACTCTGAGAAAAAAAAGCATACTCTCTCTTACTCACACACACACAAAGACCAATCAGAAACTGCGGTTTAAAAGAAACAAACAAAAAAAAGAAAAGAAAACAACAACAAAAACATTTCTTTCCGGTGAAGCACCTTATACAAAAATAATAATAATCATTTCCCAGTGCCAATTGGGAGCAGAATATTATGTTACTATTACTTGACAGCCTCACAAGTCGTTTGCCATTTGCTGGCAATAGTTAGCCACCTAGTGGTCAAACCATCTTTTATATCAAGTATCAACAACAGGGAAGATTTTGGTTACATGACACTAGGTCATTACTGAACAAATGACTTAAACATAGTTAACGTGATACTAAACTAACTATAAATAAAGTGAACAGACTCTGTTGAGGGGAATAAAAGATCATCACACCAGAAACAGTGTCAGTGTCAAATCAGCACAACATGTTTTTTTAAGCCTGTCTGATTTGTTTATTTTTGATTATTTAACCTGTAGATTCAAAGATACGACACAATGTCCCTGTGAAAATAATTACCCATAGCAGTTCAGTTACACCAGTTGCATGGATGATACAGTGTAGAGTTGTGTCTTTTTAAGACAATCTTCTCTTCCTTTTTCCTCCCTCCTGAACTTCTCRTCCCACTCGATTGTTTCTCACACTTCAGTTGTCCAAAAGGGAGCGCTGTAAAGCCTCCTGAATCATTGTGTTCTCATCTGTGGAGTAATCCTGCAGAGACATCAGCAGAGGGGAATGGGTTACTAAAGATATAAACCTACCCATGTTGGATATTATATGGATTTGTTTGGATAACAATGCAATGTTTCTCAATATCACAAGGTCTGTCATGATTTCAATTCAACGATATAGATCAATGCTTTTATTTTGCCTTGATGTAATTGAGCCATTAATCATTTATTCAATATATTGATGTAAACGGATGTATTGTTATAACCCTAATGGATTATAAAGGTAAACTAATATTAGTGTTTACTTACAACAAATGTATCATAAGAGAAGGTGTGTCTGATCTTGAGGTGCTGGAAAAAATCAGCGCTCCTGTAATTAGGATCTCCCCAAGGCATTGAGGCACAAATAGGGCAAACCTAAACAAGAGAGAGAGAGAGAATCCGTAAATATGCAACTGATCACAACTAAACAAACAAAAAACTACATCTGTGATGTGGAGCTCGAGGACAACAGGGCGATGTGGATTTCTTACCACTTGACGTGGATCTCGAGCATGTTGGGAAGTGCAATGTTCAACTAGGCCATCCTGATCGAGGTTCTGGCAGTTGCAGTAGGGGCAGGAGAAAGTGTAGCGGTTTGGCATTGGACTGTGGGAAACAGAAACCATTTGCTGTGATATTCATTCATCAACAAAACTGGAAACAACTGATTGTTTGCAAAATTAGTTTAACAGGCAAAGGAAATCCTGGAACACCAAAAACAAAAATTAGACAGAGCCAGAGCGCACGTGCCAAATATTAGTTTTAGTTTATACAGGCTTTCATAATGAAACCAACCATTAGACTTGCTGATTGTCTTATTCTAATCTTAATCCAATGTTTACAACCTTTTAAACATGAAGAAGTTCTAGTTCTAAATATATTTAACTGCCATTCTTTTTTCTAAGATAACAGGACTACACAAGGTACGTCTGAACTTTAACACAGCAGCGTCTTTATCCAAAGTAAACACAGTCAAACGCTAACTTGGAGCTTCTTGAGGAAATTATACATCAATATTAGGGGTGCACGATAGTTATTGGCCCGATATCAGGGAATTATGACATCATACTTATCGGTCCAATATCATAACAAACAGAACCGATAATATACATGTTTGACAGCRTGGCGATGAGAATGTGTGTTTATTTTTATCTGTTTTGGTAAAGCCGCTTCCCGTCCGACACTACTCGAGCAACGTTCAGGTTGCGGCAGAATAAACAACTTTCTCACTAGAAAAATAATTGGAATCCTCCATGTTGAAAAACAACCAGTCATTTTAAGAATTATTTAACTAATTAACCCTGTATGTTATACATAAGCTTTATAATTATAAACATCGGAACAACTACTCCCAATTTGAGAACATGTAATGTCCATTAACTCCTGAACGCAGCACAGAGTCCGTCTGCTAAAATGTTAACAAAAACAAGCTAGCATTCAAGAACTCATCAGGACTTAAATCATTGCTGAGTCTTTTGACAAATCCAATAAAATTGCCAGAGAGGACGCAGATCTCAAGCACTTTAACGATGGAAAGGATGACAACCAGCCGTTCACCCTCGCTAAAGACCGAAGCTTTTATCTCTTTGTTAACCATGGTTTACCGTGCAGAATAGCTGCTGCCTCTCTGTGTGTCTTCCTGTAAGTATGATGCAGTCATAATGCATTCACACTTTGATTGACAGGTTACCATTTCTGCGCTATTATCTCAGAAGCACTGTTTCAGGTAGAAAAATGTTTGAAATCATACATTATAACAATAAAAACAAATGTACTTTGAATCTAACTAGAGTTATCTCCTGGCATGTTATCGGTTATCGGCCATTAGAAGGAAAAAGTTATCAGTTATCGTATCGGTTCTTAAATGAGTTATCGTGCATCCCTTACACAAAAGTAAAAGAAACCTAGGTACTCTGTCTTCCAGTTTCTGAGGGTTTTGGAGCTGAGAAAATGTGGCTTTATTTCCTCACAGGCTCMAACATGCAGACACTGAACAGTCAGTAACTAAAGAAATGCCAGTAGGCCATTATACAACATCAAGAAACAAACAAACAAAGACAAACTTGATTAGATTAGGTTTACTTTCATTTTGTTTAACTGAAGACTGTGTGAATCCAGGGTATTTCCTCATTTGTTCCACCAGTTTCATTTGGTATACATTTATTTTTACATTTCTGGGCCCATTATTTTTTTCTTTTTACCACGTGAGGTTGAGGAATCTTTTCGCAACACTGAAAAAAATGTCTATCTTTCGGTGTCCTAAATGCCACAGTATTTCAGGTACTTTTTCTGCCCATTAGCAGACTATACACATTTGTTTCATCATGATGCAAGTATKTTCAAACAGGCACAACAGGCTTGTATGTATCAGGCTTCTGATCAACATTTCAGAGAAATCAGACTGTGTTACTAAATAATTAAGCTGGAAGTTTACTTTCAGTTACAGGTCTACTTACTGCAGCACTTTGTTTTATATTTGCACCTGAGCCAAATGACCTTCGACTGAAACGGTTTCAACCACAGCTGTAAAGCGAACCATATGTCAGTGTTTTGAACTACGCTTTCATTTCACACAGCATATTTTGATTGTTAGCATGAAATAAAAGGTTAGATCAAAATAAAAACTGTAAAGTTTTCTGGCTGATCACCAATCTTTAAAAAGCCTGACCTACCAATTCCGATTTTGGACGATACTAATTTTTTAAATAACTGACACTGTCAGGTGTTATAAAGTCACAATAAACCTTGAACGGCCAATCTTATTTTATTGAAAAACAATGAACTTGAACTGCCAAGACGAGAGAGGAAAAACCACCTCACAGCTAGRAGGAAGCCAACACACAGCAGCCGGTACAAAGGTAGGTGGTGTGCGTGTGTGCGCACGTTTGTGTTATACAGAGTATGAAATGTTTTTCGGCAACTTTATCATGAGTTTTATGCAAAAGTAAAAACTTGTTAGAGTGTATATTACAGCGTAAAAAAAACACGAGTGACGAAGAGCAGCAGAACCTCCGCCTGATAATCCTTACGTTTTCAGTTCACAACGTTGGGGAAAATGAACCAAACCATATAAGTAGCCCATCAATTTAAAGCCTAGTCTCTGCTCTTTCCAACAATATAAGTSTCACAGCTCTACATGAAAAATTCACAGAACAAGCAGCCAAGGAATAGCAAAAAAGGCTAAATTCTGGAGCCATAAACACGAACATYTTTCCTTTGTTTTTATGGMTTTAATCCACTTTGGAGTGATTTTTTTTCCCACTTGGCTGGACCTGTACGTCTCCTGTGTTAATGTTGGTACATGTAATATGCTAATTCTGTACTGTGGAGATCATTAAGAGTCGTTGTCGGGTGAAAAATCTTTCGCTAACACTGTGTTGACCACGAACCGGATGTGATTGGAGTGGCATTAAGTGTTGGACCAGATGTCCGTGGCATATAGGCTATTGGGGCCGATAAAAAGATGCACTCCTATTGGAAAGTATAACTGTAAAAGAACTAAAAGTGTCATGTGATGTTGTGACACCTCTCCTGGCAGAGTAGTGATGGTTGGATGACCGGCCTCAGGAAAAGTAATGGCTCATGTTTTCTTGACAACTACACCTATAAAAGCTATTACAAAAAAAAGGCTTTCAGGAGTATAACGCYGACTCTTTTATAAGCTTAAACACAAAAATGCAGATTTATTGTGCTGCATTTTTTCACAGCCAGGATATWTTATGTGTGCACAGTGGCMATTTCTGTCAACTAAACAAATCAGAAGGAAAAGTGAGAAAGGATAACACAAAAGCAATTAATATGTGACCCGTTTTATACAATCAATATTTCCCTTGAGTTGTAAACAATGCTAAAAAAAATCATTTATATTAATATAATAGTGTGTACTTTCAGATAACGTACTTAGTTATCTGGAATCAGAAATGTCAAGTGTATGGCAGCATTTCCTTYCCAGTCAGGCTTAGTAACAACTTCCTCATCAGCTGTATCTTAACAGACCAGTGAAACTCTATCRAAGTGAAACAAAAGAACCTTGAACAGGCGGATGCAGATGTGGCTATTAATATGGGTACGCTTCTCTTTTAAGGCATTCGGGTTTTACCTGATGTGGTCTTGAAGGTGGATAAAGCACCACCAGCTGTAGATCTTAGAAACAAAATATCACATTCCCGTGCAGTGAGGTTTAAAACACTGCTCAAGAGGCTAGTAAAAACATTTCCRCTTGCCGCTGCTGTTTCTCACCTGATAACGGTAGGCTGGCTCTGGGCTGTGGTCCTCACCCCTTCCTCAATGTACTCCTGATATTTCGAACAAGCCGCTGTGTGGGTTCTCATCTGAGACAGGCCAACCTAAAAAAATAATAATAAAAAATAAAAAAACAGGCAACATCAAAAAAATTTACTATGTTTTCAACATAAGAGTTGTATATAAATATTAAGACCTAACTTCAGATTAAATTTAATTTAATTTCAGCATGTGTGGGTAATAAAGCTGCCAGCGTTTATGGCTGATCTATGCTCCCAAACTGAGTTATTAATTAAACTATCAAATGTTTTCCAGATCTCTTATTTTAGAATTTGCACACCAGTGATTGAACGCACCTGAACGCCACATCCCTTACAAGCTGCCACAGATGACTGGATGAGGGCCTCTAGATTAGTAGCTTTAGTTAGAATCCCTGGAGTGGCCCTACATACAGCACACACAGGTTTCTGTGGACGCAGACATTCTTGCAAACAACTCTGGCAGAACCTAGCAGGAGATAAAGGAAGAAATCTTGATGCACAAGTTAAATAACATGAAAGACATTCATTATTTATTAGATCTGTCTTTCTGTGGCTTGAAGTGAAAACTCAATTTAATCATTCTTAATATTTGTAAAATGCTGCAACACAMGGTGCAAAATAAAGTCAATGTTATTTCGTTGTTGTTGCTGACATGAGCTTATCGTAAATCCCCCCACCCCAACATGACGCTGGGAATTGTAGTTTTGTTACTGCGCTTTCATGAGTTGCAGCAACGGAGAGCAAAACTACAACTCCCGAGTGAGGCCTGCTCTTTGATGTAAACAAAACTGAAACTGATTTAGCTACCTAGAACGGTTTCTATTACTTATTTACGCGACAAAAATAGATGCGTAGAGCCGTAGCACAGGCGGACACACACACGGTCGACGTTTCGCCAACATAGGTCCGCAATGTCTTTAAAAACCAAGCCCTGCTTCTCATTGTTTTTAACTCGTTTCGTAGCATCGTTGTTGGTAGTGGACGAGGTCGAAACGAAAATAAAGCGAAAACACTCACGTATGTCCGCATTGTGTTGTTACGGGACTCTCGAAAATTTCGAGACAAACGGGACAGATGAATTCCGACACGTCGTTGCTTTCGTCGGACACACTTTTCTTGTGCGGTGCTGAGCTRAAGCCTCCGAGCATCGCCATTTCTTTTCTTCACTGACTAGTCCTCCCCCCACCACCACCACAGCCAGACAGCACCATCGTTTCCGTGCTGACAACGTCACCAAGCGTGGGGGCGGAGCTAATGGAAATTACAACTAACATTGATCAACACAAAACGTTTAAAAAGGCTCGCTTAATCCAAATATATATGGGTATAAAATTAAATTTATAAAAGTGAGACATGCAGCAGCACTGGATATTTCTTTATATCAAAATTAAAAACATAAAGTTGACCTTAGTATGGTTTCTCAGCCAAGGCAAAGTTGACTGTTTGAAACCTGCTCTTTCTTTGGCATTCCTCTTTGTCCTTTTCTAGACAGCAGCATTTCTAACATTTTTCTACCAAATATATCCTTTGTCTCTCCTCTGGACCTGTCCAAACCAGTGTGTCTACTATCCACAAACGAACTTCACATACAAATATAAATAAATACATAATATCTTGAATAATGATGTAAAATGATATTTTCCGTTGGAATAATGAATAGTCAGAACAAAAAGCAATCTTGAAAGCAAATAATGACCAGGCAAAACTAACTTATAGATATGTAGAATTGTTATTATTTTTTGACTAATCAAAATTGATTTTAAAATATCTTGAATTGGAGCCTCTATACAAATTATTGGTAAATATGATAATTTATACTGATCAGAATGTGCTTTTAGATATCTCAAATAGGTATTTTCCTGGTTAAAATATAATTATAGATGGCTTATTTACTTACTTACTTACTTACTTACTTACTTACTTACTTACTTACTTACTTACTT